TATATATATATATATATATAATATCTTGATTATCCCCAAGCTTTTGGGCAAATATTCTGTGGACTGATGCGACAAAAGTGGAACTTTTTGGAAGGTGTGTGTCCCGTTACATCTGGCATAAAACCAACACAGCATTTCATAAAAAGATCATACACTCATTGCCAGTTATCGCAAACGCCTGATTGCAGTTGTTGCTGGAAAGGGTGGCACAACCAGTTATTAGATTTAGGGGGCAATTACTTTTTCACATAGTGCCAGGCAGGTTTGGACAGCTTTTTTCCCTTAATAAATGAAATCATCATTTCAAAACTGCATTTTGTATTTATCCGGGTTATCTTTGTGTAATATTAATTTGTTTGATTATCTGAATCTTTTAAGTGTGACAAATATGCAAAAAATTTAAAAAAAGGAAGGGGGCAAAAACCTTTCCATGGGACTGTATGTGTGTGTGTGTATATATATATATATATATATATATATAGACACACATACGCTTGCATTTTGACGAAGACAAAGGCAAATGTTGGACTTCAGTGCCATAAAACAATAAAAAGATGTGGATATTTTTTCCATCTCTGTTTTATGCCAAACTCATTTTTTCATTGAAGAAACAGAACACAAAATTACTGTTTGTATTACATGAAGGTGCTTTATAACCTTTATTTTATTTGAATAAATGTATTTCCACCTTCTGGAAAAGCCTCATTGGGAACTTTGAAGATCTTGTTGAGAACTTTAATTTCAGACTCTCGGTACTCTGGAGATGGAATCCCATTTTTGCGGCAGAGCTCCAACAATATCGCAGTGGGTTTCTTGGCATCTCTCCATTTATTATAGCCATCCCTGAAATCACAAGACATTCTAATCTGATTTAACCTGTAGAGAGTCAAATGAAAATCAGGCCACAAAACCGCTTGATTTATCTCAATATCTTAAATGTTGCAGCTGCAAACAATCTTCTGAGAGGAAGTATGAGCTTACCCAATATGAGCTTAAAGCAGTCAATGAGCTTTGAGAAATTCTGATGACAACGACAGTAGTGGTCACGACAAAGATAATAATACTAATCATCATTATAATAACTATCACCACCATCATCACAGGCTAAAACCATTACCCACTTATCATAATGAAGAGCCAGGCCACACCCGGCACGATGGCGGCTGTAGAAACGGTTCTCCAGGTCCACGCGGGTCTCACCAATCAGGTCATCAGAACCCACAAGGTCATGGTCAAACACAAACAGTGTGAGCTCTGTCTCCAGGGGGAAGGACACGGTCAATTCAAACACTCTGTGGGGAGACAAGTGCTCAGGATATCAAATCAGTAACCAAATCTGAGAATAATGATATCACAGATTTAGCCTTTTTATCTCAAATCATGCTGTTTTCAAGCTACAACTGTAGTTGTAGTTCAGGCTGTCAATGTGCATGTGCCTTCAAGAGTTAAAAATACTGTACATGCAAAGCCTCTATGAAAAATTACATTTAATATTTAATTCTTACAGCCACCATACTGAATGTTGTGAACATTCATTCATTTTGTGAACAGACGGCACTTACTCTCCAAACACTGGGTTCAGTTGTTTGGGAATGTAGCGCTCTTTGCTGTCCATTTGCTGCTGGCCAACTTTTACCACCACATAGGGGTCTGCCTTTCCATTCGGGTCTGTGGGTGCCAGATTGGTTGCCTTGGGGTTCAAAGGAAAAAAGCATAGTTCACAGTTCACATTCAGATTCAATGCACAGAAAATATAAGGGGAAATGATAGAAAACTGTACCATTGTGATGCAAGCAATGCACCCTTCAATGTGACATGCTCCATTTAAAACCATTTAACATTTTTCTAATTCTTGTATACATACATGCAGGACTAATTATCTACAAAATGTAAAAGATGATACAAAAATACAAATAAAAAGTTGCTATATAACAACAGTTATTTTCTTCTGTATTGTGATGTACATCAGAGTGAAATGGATTATCATAAAAGAAAAAATGTAGAGGGGGGGACTTGATTTTATGCATTGGTTGACTGGATAAAGGCTGAATGCAAGATTCCAGTCAATTCTAAGAAACAAGAATAGTTTAGGCAGACTAAATGATTGGAGAAGTCTGGCATACATTACCAGAGAGACAGAGAGAAGTCTAATGTTTCACCATAAAATTAAGAGGTTTTGAGAGAGAGAGAGAGAGAGAGAGAGAGAGAGAGAGAGAGAGAGAAAGAAACAAGCATGGATGAATCATTCACAATAAGATCAATAGCATGCATTTAGAAAATAGATTCCGTTTATAATAGCCGTTTCATACCAACTTAAAAGAAATGACAACATATAAAATATAAAACTTTCCCTCATACATTCATATAAACTGTCTAAAATGTTCATGCCCACTCTGTCAACTAACTGTGCAGAATTTGTAAATTAATTAAAAAAATTTTTTTTAAAAAGGTACCTACTTTTACTACATATACCCTCACAAGGACTTTGATGGGTGCATTTTTGGGAATCCCATTAGTGATCTGACAGTCTGCATCCTCGTCTTCGGGAGCGATGGGATATATCAGAAACGATCCCTGCAATGAAGCACAGCTCTGCTTTAACCTCTAATCCTTGACGTTTTTCATGCATGCTGCCACACTGTTGATCCAGTGCATGAGAGCTTGCCAAAACGCACATCTCACCTTATATTTACCCATATATCTCGTACTTTCATCTTCCTCTTCGTCTTCCAGGCTGGATTTGCCTTTGTATACAGGAAATATGTGCAACCAGTCCATGAACTGACTGAATTCGTTTTCAAGTTCAGACTTGTAAAGCTGGGGAAACAAAATAAAAAAGGGGGGAAAAAAGAAAAAGGACAGAAAATGTAAATTGCAAATCATGCAAATAGTTTTAGATGGCTGAAAAGCAGAAATAAAACACTGTAAACACTGTATTGAATTAAATAAAAGGATTACAGTTTGAAGAACATGTCAAACCTGTAAGGTGGCAATTTTCTTCCTCTTTGGAGCAGGCGGCTCTATTTCAATCACAGCCTCATCATCCTCTGCCTCTAGTGCTGACATGCTCAATGGTGCTCCATCTGCAGAACGTGACATTACACTGATGCTTTGAAATACATTCAGTCCTAAGCATCCTAAAGCAGAGGATGTGGTCACTTAGGTCAAACTAAAAAGGTCTGAATGTCACACAAGAAAGTTCAAACCAAATGGTATCCACAAATAAATTACGCTAGACCTTTCTCAGAAGTAATTTAATTTTCAATCCACCCATAATTGATTTTTAGTGCATGTTTGGAGTAATTCACACAGCAGACTAACTACAAGTTCATGTCTTGTTCAACTACGTTTGGTATTTTGTTATGTAATGCATTTGATAATCAATTTTTAAGCGCCCAAATATGTTTTAGGCCTCTGTCCAACTGGTCTCATTCAGATGTCTGAATTTGCTGTTGTTACGCTATTCCAAATTCAGATGCTGATACATTTACTAATACAAGTGATGTAAGTCTTTATGAATGAGTCATTGATTTATTCACTCACTCAACTGATTTGTTCAAAAACGCTGAATCATTTATAATAGAGTAACAATTAAATCATGCTTGCGCTTATAATACCTCCATCGTGTCCATCTTCCAAGTCATCCTCTTTCTCCTCCTGAAGAAAAGATGGAAACAAGTCATTTACATGTTGAGAAAATCAACAAAGCATGTAGTTTATACAATCTATTATCAAAATAATTTATCACCTGTTTTTCGAGTTCAGCCAGTGATGCATAATATTTAGACCACCAATCAAGCTCCTCCTTTTCTGGTGGCTCCTCCTCTAACTCCTCCTCTTTTTTAACCACCTTTTTGATTGGAGACTGAAAATGGAGTTTTCCACAATAAATTATTTTTAAAATTAAAACTCATTTACTCACCCTCATGTAATTCCTATCCTTTAATTTGTGAACAGGCCTTTACACTAAACATGAACATGGATTTTTAAAAGCCAAATACACACACTCATGATTGAAAGCATCCCATTTGGATGTCAGCAGGGGTCTTGGCTATGCAGTGGCTGCCCAATTAATCAGAGTGATCTAACAGCAGGAGCTCAAACTGACACAGGAACACACTTCACTGCGCTCAACAAACCAGCAGATTCACACCATAATCAACAGGTTAATGGGTGCAAAGGGCTTCACATTTAATAACTGCAGGCTGTGGATGGTTAAAACATGTGCGCTATGTACTCATTAGGAGCTATTTCAAACATCCCAAAGCAGCCAACTAACGTAATTTCACCCAGACTGGATACCCCATGACCACAAGGCAGCTGTCTGAATAAAAGTGTTTGCAAAACCTCTGAAAAGTGGTGGAAGATGGCACATACAATTTTGAACTGTTTCACACATATGGTAAATAGTAATTTGAGGAACACTACAGAATGTGTTCATTCTTATGGACTGAATAAAAAAGACAGTGGAACTTACCGTGACTAATTTAAGGGGGTTAACAGGAATTTTGCTATGCTTCAGAGGAAGTCCACCCAAGTCCATGGTGATCACCGTGGTTAGAGGAGTGGTCTTCTGGGTAGGCTTCTTCTCTAAAATTGTGAGCGAATGTTATATTACAAAACTATAGTCTATATTCTATATTAAAAACCAGCCAACAGTGATTTGATTAAAATACTTTGTTTTTCAAAGAAGTGTCTTATGCTCACCAAGGCTGCATTTATTTGATCAAAATACAGTACAAACAGTCTTATTATTAAATTTTATTACAACTTACATCTTATTTAGAGCATTCACTGTTCAATGCAATGCAATCCAAATGAATGTATTTATGAATGCAATAGGCAGTTGTATTGAATGAAAACATTTTTGGATCAATCAGACTTACAAACAATACAAGAAATAAGCAAAAAGTGCTATAGGAATCTCGTGAGCTCTCATTTTGCAATTTATTGGAAGTGATTCATCTGTGTTGCTGTTAAGAGCATGAATGAGAAATTAGTTAATTGAATTAATGTTCAGAACTATCCTCTAACTTAACCATAATATAGATCCTAAATAAGAATAATGTGCATATAAGTGTGGTCAGTGTCTTTTCTCATTTCAGCAAAGTTTCATGCCATCCTAGTTTATAAAGAGAGTCTGGTGCACTTCTGAATGTAAATGATTTATGTACACATATCAGAACAGCAGATGCTTTATTTTTTGGCCTTTAAACCACAAACATATGAGCTATAAAAGGTTCCATACCCTCAGGCTCCTCCTCCTCGTCTTTCCACTCCTCTTGGTCCCTGGGACCAAACTGCACAAGGTTTTGGACCACGTGAGTTCCCACCAGGACCAGCCTCCCAAATGCCCTCTGCTCCATTATGAAGATAGTAAGAGGAGGATGCAGGTAGACGAGCTCTGGAAGTTCCTGAGGACACATAACCAGTTATGAGCTATTGTGCAGTTATGATAATAAAAGCAAGTAGATGATTAATATTAAATCATCCTCATCAAATATTTAATGCTTACTTTTTTTAATGTTTAATAGGATGTTACATATAAAATTATTTCTGTCATGACAACTCTCGGAGGGATTGGCATGGTAATGTACATGACAATGTTAATGTATTTGGTCTTGGCGGAATAGATCTGCTATGCTGCTGCTGCTGCGGCAGAGCAAGTACCGAGACTTGCTACTGCCAATACATCCACAGCATGCTGCTGTGAGCATGTAAGAAATATTGCTGCTGCAAATATAACATACATGAAAAAAACCCATATAGCATACATGAATCACCTCATAGCAGATCTATACAGGTGGAGCTGGGGAAGGTGGAGGGTTTCTGAAGCAAGCTGCAACTGCTACAGCAAACAAAAGCCAGGTATTTGAATATTGAGCAGCGAGCTCATTGGCTACCGATACAGGAGAGAACCAATCAGCTGTGCCATGTGATAATGATGTCATTAGGTCAGATTGAGTTAGACATATCGGACTGCGCTATCTAGAGTTTCATGCCAGAACGCTGTACTGCTTTGGTGTTAGCAAAAGTCACCATGCACCAAACAATCACAAATAAAAACCTACTACAACTAACAAAGACTTCATATATTGTGTAATAAATCATTCTGAGCAAGACATCTCACCAGTACTGCTTTTAGTAATTCTGAAACAGGATATGTGATCAATGCTTGTATGGCAAGCATGTTCTCAACACAGCTCTTGAGATAAGGTCTAATACTTTGAAACTAATACTTACAACATCAAAGTGTTTAACCAAATCGTTGAAGTTGGGATTCAGCTTGTAGCTCTGAATTTCCTCCGACTCGATCATGTGGCCCGCACACTCAATCCTCACTTGAGGTCGCTCCACTTCAAACAGGTTGACTCTTTTCAGGTCCCTCAGGCCCCAGTACAGCACCTGCCGTTTAAGGGTTTGAGTTCAAAACACTGTACCAAACCAGTCAGCTGGCAAACTTGTGCAGTAGGTCAAACCGTGCTGCTATTTTACAATTCTGCTATTTATTCATTCTTGGGGAGTGATTTATGAACACATCTGATAAATCAATTTTGTTCTTTGGCATTTAAAACCTTTAAATTGTGACGTTAAATAAAACTCTTGCAACTTTTATTCAGTTCATATCTGTTCAAGTTTGCACCTCTATTCTGTATTTCCGGAGCACAGGTCGAACTCCCTCGGGAATGATATAATAGCATTCTTCTTCCATGTACTGTGGTTCCTTGGGGTCAACATCCAGTGGCAGAGCTGGCTGAGATGGTTTCAGAGCACACAAACATGACATTTAAAGGGCATATTTTAAGACTTTCCGATATATATAGAGGTGGAGGATTCATCTTCATTCAAGTCATCTTTACCATCAGGTAAAAGCAACACAACTGTTTTCAACATAAATAATAATAGGAAATGTTGTTTGAGCACCAAATCAACATATTAGAATGATTTCTGAAATATTCTGTGACTACAAAATTCAGCTTTACCATAATACACTGCATTTTAAAATATAGAAGTAGAAGACGTTAGTTAATAATATAATAACAATATTATTTCACAATATTACTGTTTTTACTGTATTTTTGATCAAATAAATGCAGCCTTGGTAAACATAAAGAGACTACTTTCAAAACATTCAATATTTTAATATATATCCTTCTATTCATTCAGGTGTATTAATTAAGCTGCTCTCTAACAGACAAATGAATGCTTAGTCATGTCATGTCTATATGTGTGTTAAGCTAGACTCTTCTCACTGTCTTTTGCAGTGAAATTAACGAGAAAAACTGGAGTCCCACCTCTCCGAAGCTTGAGTAATCCAACTCGATGAGCTCAAGAGCTGCCAAAATTTCACCAGCTTTGCTCTTGCCTTTTGTGATCTCAAAAAACTGCAGCTGGGGTTTTTTATATGGCTCTTCCACAAACTTCAACTCTGGTTTTGCAAATGCACGACCAAGGGCTTGTGGACTGCCCTGTGTAACATTCAAATGCACCACAAATAAATCGCACTGTATAATTAACAATCATAAGTCTGACTTCTCATATTCTAGAGTAGACTATTCATGGACGTTATATGCTCTTATACACTATATAAGTAGACTTTCTAAACAGGAATAACCAATATGCTATGACATTAACATTGTATGTGAAAACATGGTGCAGCTTTATTATTTATTTGACTTAAAAATGTACTACTGTTAGAACCAAACCTATGCTTTTGTTTAAGCACGTTTTTTTAAAGTGCCATTTACAGTTTATTCACAGATTACAGCATTCCAAAACAGTTAACGCATTAAAAACTATCACTCACTAGTTTGTTGTAGTCATAGATATTGATGATGACCACAGGAGGGTCTTCTCTGTACTCGTCCTTACTGCCCTCCATCAGAACCTGATCATAGAGGAGTAACTCACACCACGTCGGCGACAGAGTTTCTTCCATCACCTACAAAGAATAAAATATTTTAACAATCTCTGAGACACAAAATTGCAATCAATAAAGGCTGAATGGCTCATTTCTATGCCCCTTCAGATTCCAGTTGGACTGAATGGACTTGTCATAAATAGGCAATAAATCTCATGTGAATTGAATAAAAGTAAGTTTTTAGTGCTTTTCCTATCCAGTGCTTTTTATTGGGAACAGAGAAAAAAATAACTTGAGTGTTAATATATATGAGACCCACCCGTGTGACCTGACACTGTGTGCTGAACACAACCTTGGTGAAGGGGTCGGACAGTCCATTGTCATCGGCTGCAATAATGCCACGCGCTTGATAAATGTGAGCACGTAACTGGAAATAACGACTGTCTGGATGAAAGGACAAAAGGAGGGACTGTAATTTTCATGAAATGTCATCCAAATTAAAATATATTGATTTTCAAAGCCGCCTGAGACAAATTATGGAGAATATCCGAGATGTTTGTATTAGCTAAAATGAACTGGAAGTACCTTCCACCGCTAATTTGATGGGAGGCATGTTACGGGGAATTGATGCACCAGAAGTCGCCTCTTCGTAAATGGGTCTAAACTCTGCTGGAAGGCTGGTGACACAATTTTTTGCGTACTTTGTGATACCAAGCCACATATATACTTCCAGTTTGGCGAAAATTTCCCCCACTGCTCCTCCAGGGGTCTACAGAACAAAATAATGAAAAAAACAAAAATAAGCCATAGAATACTGTTCAAAAGTTTGGGGTCAGCAAGATTTTTTAATGCTTTTGAAAGACTTCTCTTCAACCAAGGCTGCATTTATCTTATAAAAAATACACAACTCTCACTGATTGTATGCTGATGTACATTTTTAAGCAACAACAAAAAACACAATAATAAACAATACAAATAAGCAATATGTTGCTCCATTTTAGTAAGGTTAAAGAAAACATTAGATTGTAAAATCTAATTGCAAAATAATTGTGATTGCATCTAATTGTATGACTGTACTGTATAATAATACATACAAAGCATGTGTATGTGAATGTTTTTTTTTTTTTTGAGTGGGCAATATTAATGATTGCTAATGTATAGTATAGTTCATTTTCAAACTACTTCATGCCAGTTTTATTTTAAGAATCTATCATGAAAACTGGATTGGACAGAAAAAGGTTTTGCAATAAGTGATATGAAGTAGGAATTCACCTTCATGTACACAGCAGTGATTTTCCCACAGTCTTTACCCTTCTCTTCCTCCACCAGTGAGAATAGGATGGAGGGTGCTGGGATCCTGGTGTAGGCCACTCGCCTCCCTCCACTCAGCATCCACAAAAACACATCGGGGAGAGTGCTCTGAGGCTGCCATATGAGAACACAAACACTTACATACAGTTCTGGTGGTAAAAAAACAACATGCATTTTTAGGTAGAAATTGAGGTAAACAATAAGACACAGCAAATCTTGATAGCATTACTTCTATGGCCAGAAAGCGGAGCCTCTTTGCGATATTCTTGAGATCTGCTAGTCTGTCTTTAACCGTATTTCTGGTCACTCTCTTTCTCACTCTCAGGGCCTGCTTGGCCAGCAAAACCTGCAATTCATATCACATTCTCAATGAAGACTCTTAGTGGGTTTAACCATATAATTCATCAGCATACTTCTGTAATACTAAAATCAATACAGTCACTCACAATGTTCCTTTTGATGAGCCCCACACGGCACTTATCCAGGGTGTTTTGACGAGCATTCCTCTTCCTGTCTAAGTTACTGCTGTACTGCCTAAGAGCGGTGAGAACAATCTTTCTATTATCTATAATGTACGATGTAAGAGGGGAAATACAGACTCAGTATAGTCATGCAAATGTGTCCTACTTGCAAGTGGAAAAGAATTCCAGCGCAACATCAACCAAACGTTCTTTAGCCTTGATTTTTGATCTTTTCAACAGCATCCCCACTTCATCAATGCCATTTTCCTTAAAGAATATAGGACACAAGTCAAACTAAGAAAATTCCATTTTCTAACAGTCAAGTGAAATAGATGCTTTTGGAATGACATGAGGAGAATAAGGTAGCATGTGGACTG